ACTTAAAAAATAATACAAATCCAGGAGTGACATCAGAAACATGACAGAGTGAGAGAGGTCCCTTCATCTCTCCCCTTGAAACAGCAATAAGCTAAACATCTAAAATTCAGCAAAAACACCCAAACTGCACACCAGTATGTCTGAGAGACGGATGTGCGCATAAGAGCTACCACAGGCTCCACTTCCATCTGTTTATTTTCTTGGCAATTAATTTATGATCTATGAATTTTAAATGCAATAAAAACATAAAGCAGTGAAAAATAAAATAAAATAACACAAATCCAGTATTGCCATTCCCCAGCTCAAGCCCCAGGGCCCTTCTTCCTTACCTTCAGAAGAAGCTGAATCACTAATGAGATCACCTTTCTGGTTTTGCTCACTTGGACAGACCCTGTCTTCCAGTCACGCTGCGATTCCTGTAACCACATTAACGCTTCCCTGCTATTGTTACCTCCCACCCCCATTTGGTGCTCTGCATCCTCACCCCTCTGGTGCTGTGAGAGGCAGCAGTACTCCCCTCCCTCCTGCCCCACCCCTTCTAAGCCCAATTAGCCACCTTTGGCTTTGGGGATCTTATTTTCCAAACCAATAATTGGAGTACATTGTCTGACAAGGACATTTGTACTTCAGGGGGGACAAGTCAGAGTATGTTTGAAATTAGGGTTGTTCTTGAAAACTGAGTCTAACTTCTGGCCTCATGTATTTCACATGGCCACTGGTACAATTGGAGGAAACGAGCTCAAAAAATGGTATTCTGGGTCTCCCAGGGTCCAAAATCCTAACAGGAGGAAGTGAATTGTTAGGGACCCAAGAGGACTCCGAAGAAGCACCACCAGTCAATTCTAATCTCTCTTCTCCCACCTCGTGGCTGTCAGTCCCTCTTGCCTGAATCTTCCACCCTCCTCAGTGATACAGGACAGGGCAAATATCCCTGAATGGGAGGAGACCAAGCCCTGCACTGAGAGAGAAGTGTTCTTGACGGAGTGTGTAGAAATAATTCAAACACACGCCAAAGTTAAAGTCAAAAGGAAAGTTTATTAGAGAAGGGGTAACACTCCATAGACAGAGCGTGGTCTCCTCTCAGAGACAGGGCATGGTCTACTCTCAGAGAAAGCCTAAGAGACTCAAAGCGACAGAGACAATAGAGAGAGACGAGGACAGTGAGAAAGACTGAGTAAAGGCACTGAGAGTGACAGTAGAGACAGTGAGAGGGACCCAGGGAATTGTTTATATATCATTCTTTAGTTCCTGTGAATTACAATTTAAATACTTTATTTATCCATTTCCTTTGCTATGGACATACAGTGAGGAAGGATAAAAGTGTATAGGTGAAATGGTAAGAATATGTAGCATGAAAGGCCTGTTGGCAGTTTCCAGCCTTTAATCCACAGGTTCCCTATGGTTTTAGCCATAGGGAATGAACGATTTTATTTTTTGTAGGGCAGCCACTTAAAGACTGTTTTCCTGCTTCCCCTTCACAGGTGTGGGAAATGGGTTGTTAGCAATCCCAGTAGAACTCTTTCTTTGTTCTGCAGGTATCCTCATGGCCTGACTGCAGGGCTAATCAGCATATTGCAGTTTCTGAATATAGCTTGATTTAACATTATAAGTTAGTTCTCTTGCCTCCTCCCTACGTTAGCAGCACCAAATGCCTGTTGTCTGAGCCCTCAGCCAGAGCTAGCCAGCGCAGCTTTCTCCCTAGCTGCCTCTCCACACCTCCCTTTGTCTGGGTGCTCTTTGTCTGCAGTCTCCCTTTGGTTTAGTTTCTCAGTCCTTGGCCTCCCCTCCCTTTCTCCCTGGCCGGGCTGCTCCCTCCCTCTCTGCGGGGGCCTGGAGGCTCGGCAAGGGGAGCCGGGCTGGGTTGCCATGGTCACATTGAAGCTGGGGCAGCTGGCCTGGGCAGCTGCTCCAGGCCCCCGAAGAGCGGACAAAGCCAGGCGGCCTTGGCAGCTTCAGACCTGGAACCCCAAAGGCCTGAGACTGGAGGACCTGGGACCTAGGACTAACCTGGAGGTGAGAAGGATGAAGCCAGAACTGAACTGTGAGGGCAAGAGTGGGGACTGAGCTGGGTCCTCTCTTTGAGGGAGGGACCAGGCGGTCAAGGCTGGAGGTGTAGTGGGTGGCAGGGAGAAGGAGAAGGATGGAGAACAGAATTTTGGACTTTGGGCTGAGGGCCAGGATGTCTCTGAGGGGAGGTCTCTGAGGGGGAGGTCTCTGAGGGGTGGCTTCTGTGTTCGGATGCCTGGAAACAGGTTTGAGTCCATCTTTGACCTCTGTCTTCCCTGGTCTGTCCCTTGTCCTTTCTTAGCCTCTTACTCTTCTCATCTACCCATGTCCCTGGGTTTCAACTCCTGTGCCCAAGTCTCTCTCCTGTTCCCCCATCTTTCGGTTTCATTCCAACGCTTTCTTCTCTCTTTTGTCCTTGTTTCTTGTACCCTTGGTTTGCCTGCTCACTGCTCAGCGATCCTCACTTTCCTGCCCTCCTCTCCAAGTATCCCCACCCTTTCCCCTGTCTCCACTCAGTTCACTGGGTTGGTCCAGCACTTTTCTCCCCAGACCTTAGTCCTCCCACCTTTTGCTGCATGTGGTGTGCCCTCTGTCTCCATTCCCCTCTCCTCTCTCTGACCCCCAGCTCCCCTCATCCTTGGCCTTAATGTCTCTCCTGACTCTCTGAGTTCTATCACCATTGTCCTGTCTTTCTCCATGCCCCAGGCTATCCACAGCTGAGCCGGGTGGCATCTTTCTCCCTCCCCATGTTATCTTCTTCCTCCTTCCACTCCCAAGCCTCAGTTTCACATTTGTACCCACTGGACTCATTCAAGCCCAGGGCCTTGTCTACCCCATCACCCTGCCCACCACCAGCCAGTTCTCAGTGTCCCCAGCTGCTGACCCAGCTTGCTTGCCCCAGAGGCAGCTGCACCTCCCAGGAAGGGGATTGCAGCTAGTGTTGGTGGGGGATGGGCATCTGGTCCATCCTTTCTCTTACTGGTCCTAAAGAGCCTCCCTGCCCTGGCCTGGTAGTCTGCAGGCCGGAAGCTACTCTCTTCTATGTGCCTCTCTTCACATTTTTTTTTTTTCCAGCTGTTTTCCCTCTCTTTTCTGGGCTGCAGGAGGCTATTGGCTTCAAGGGGAGGGAAGCTTGGATAGAAGGGCATTAATGGGGGAGGGGAAGAGTCCTTTAGGATCTCAGGAGGCCAAAAGGCCTCTGGAGTTGGGAGTGATGCAGGCAATTTGGTGATAGGTGGGTGGACACTTGGTCTTGGCACTGTTTTGGAACCCCGGGATATCTGGGATTTCCCTCGCTGGCCCCTGGGAATCTCGGCTCCGTCCGGCATTCCAGCCGGCTCCAGCCCTCTTTCTGCTGTCACTTGACTCTGCCGGGGCCCCAGCCCTACATCCTTGCCACTCCACCAGCCCTGGCTAGGGCGAGGTGGGCATCACAGATTAGGAATTTCTCCTCGGGAAGATGAGGGGGCAAGAGTTTCAGGATTTTACGGTTAACTCTATTCTCCTCTGCGGACCGCTCCTTGGCACCACCATGCCATCTTGCCAGGGTCAGCGTGGGCCAGGGGAGTGGAATGTCCCACCGGAGTGTGAGAACTGCCCAGGTGAGGTTACTAGGGATACCCTGGCCCCACCCCCCGGTATGACTCCACCTTCCGCCCAGCCTCTCCCGCCCCAGACTCCCCAGCGACCGTCTCCGGAGGGGTAGGTGCTTCGGGGAAGCCTTAGGGTTTGGCAGGAGGGGACGATGGAAAGAGGCAGTGTGACCCTGGTCTGTCTGTTAGTGAGTCTCTAAGCAGTTGGGGGGCCCTTCGATGTGTGTGTCGTCCCAGTGATTGGAGCTCGTGCCCAGCTGTGCCTTGGCTCTCCCAAGGGCCAGCCTCTTCCTGGTAGTGCTTTTGTGGGCTTGTTTGGTTGGGACTTTGTGTTTCTTTCTTGGGACTGCACTTAGGATGAGTTTACATATGCTATGAGGTGCAGTGGGGTGGAGTTCTGCAATGGAGAGATCTTACTGTGGTGGTGACATGTAGCGGGTTGGCAAGTTTGGGGTATGGAGAGGTGGGGCGCCCCAAGAGCTGAGTGGGGTGAGCACCTCTCAGCACAGCTCTTCTGTCCTGCCCACCTCACCCAGCAGCTTGCTCTCTCTTACTAGATTTGTTTACGCATTTTCTTTCCTTGTGTCTGATTTTCTTTTTGCCTCCATCCCCCTCCTCCTCCCCACCACTCACTTTGTCCTGGTTTATCCTTACCAATGGTCAGACCCTCCAATCCCACCAGGGCCAGAGCTGACTAGGCCTGAGGGAGCCTAGGGGCACTAGGGCCTGGGAGTCTGGACCCAATAGGAGTTGAGGGGAAGAACTGGAAGGTGGAAGTAGAGAGAGGAAGAGGCTAGGAGAGAGAGGCTGGCCATCAGGCTCTGGGGCAATGCAGGTTGGGGTATAAAGCACGGGAGGCCCAGAGGGTTCCAGAGAGAAGCAAAGGTTGGTGGTGTGCAGAGTGGGTCTAGGGGGACAGGACAGTTGGGTGGACAGGTGAGCCCTGCTCCCTTCCCCCATCCAAACTCCTGCTGCTGTGCCGGCCCGGGCCTGTGGGAACCTGCTCCTCCCCTGTGTCCTGGGGCTGCCCCCCCTTCACCTCCCTCTCCAGGAACTGAGACCAGGAAAGGGGGAGTGAGGAGTGCGCCATCCCCTCAAGGGGCCTGGGTGTGTGGGAGGCCCTAAGCAGGGCTGCAGCCAGAGGAGACCTCAGCTTCACTGTTCTCACTTGTGGGGAACCTTGGGGGGTGGGTGGGGGACGGTGGGGACGCCGCGCCGAGGGCGGGAGGTGTTGGGGGGTTACCGGGGAGGCTGGGTCGGGGAATGCGGCTGGGCGGGGCAGAGCGGAGCGCCTCGGAGCGCT